CGTCCAGGCCCAGAGTTCAGGGTCCACAACCAAAAAAAAAAAGTGACTCAAAAATAAAATGATTTGTATACTAAAGTGATGCTGATTAATTAATAATTGATTAATTAATAAAGTACAGAATTTCATAAGAAGTACATGAAAATAGATGAAAATGATAACAATCTATAGCAAGCCCAGATTGAACAGTGAAAATGAGCCTAGACAAACACAACATGGAACATCATGGTAGAGAAAACCAACAAAGATGTATCTTGGATCGTTGCAAAAACAAATGGAATAGACAAAACTCGAGTAGAGTTGTCCCACACGGAAATAGAAGGGCCATACAGAGAATGGGGAGCAGGGCTTCACAATTTCTTTAACAAAAGGAATGGAAAGAATATCACAAAACGAGAGAGAGGGAAAAGGATGGAGAAGTAAATCTGGAGACCCTGAGGTCCAGCTGTGGCCATTTCTGGGGTTCTCTCTTCATTGTTATGTACAATCTCTGCCTGTGGTGATGGCTGAGTAGACTAGTTAGGATTCCTTTAGTTGCAATTGACTAAAACCCAGATTCAGACTAGTTAAGCAAAGCAAAACAAAACCAGGGGCATGCATTATGTCACGTGACTGAAGAGTAGAGTTGATGGCTTGATTTGGGACCCAAACAATCCCATCAGCACCCTCTCTTGGGTGTGGGCCTGTCTCTGTACCCACTGCCTCTCAAGCTCACTGCAACACAACTCCAGGCCAATAGAAAAAAAGAAGAGATTGCCTTTCACTATCCCAAGGTAAAGTTCTGTCAAGACATTTTGCTAGAATTGCATGTCTCCAGTTGAGTGGATGAATCTTCACTATGTCTGGGAGGATGGAATATTCTGGAAAGCTCTAGTCTCAGTAACATGCAATAGAAGGTGAAGGTGGTCACCTACTGAGCCACATGGACTGAACCAGGGCCTGTCACCATGATATAGAGTAAGAAAAAATTCCCCCAGGGTTCCATAACCCTGGGGGTGGGGACGCGGCAGCAAAGGTCACCAGGGTCCTGAGGGTCTTTGGTCTGACTTAGGACTGTGAGTAAGACATTCACAGGCAGCCCTGCAGGAACTCGATTGAATTCGAGAGGTGAATCAGAGGCAGCTGCAGAATGAGTGCCAGCCTGTGGCACCCACTGAGTTTCTGAAGGAATCAGTGACCGGAAGCCAGTAGCAGCACAGGAGTGATAGATCGAGGTGATGTGGTCAAAGAGAGATTGGCAAAAGCTCTGGGAAGGGAAGTAAAGGCCAACCCCTAGGGAATCCAATTTGTAGTCATTCAAACCAAGTGCCTTTGAGGTTTGGATGAATACCTTTCCTTCAGTGGTTACAGTGAAGCCGCAGCACCAGAAGTATGAGATGTGAGAAAGGCTTCAAAGCGTGTGACTCTGGCCAGAAGAACAGGCAGGGCTGGCGTGAGCATTTAGTGAAAAGTTGGGAGAGGAAAATGAATAAAACAAAGATGCCTCTGAGATTCTCACAAGATTTAGAGTTCAGCTTAAGATGCCAAGATTACCTGTGGTCTAAAAATAGGTCCTCAAACCACAGTATTCTGAGATTCACAGTCTGGTAAGATTTGCATTGTTCTTTGCACCTGACAGCTATTTTCTCTCTAATGTTAAGATTCCTAAAATGTCCGTCATTCACTCAGTCAACCATCATTACATTGAGAACTTATGAAGAAAGACTCAAGGCATCACTCAGGCTGGGAAGATTTCTCAACCCCACCAGTAGCTGGCCCAACATGTCTCTGGGTCATTTAAAATGCAACATCTCCAGCCCAACTGTTGGTGGCGCTCTTCAGCCACATCCTCTTCTAGAGTTTCTCATCTTAAGAAATGGTGCCATCATCCATCTGCTGACTCTAACCAAACCCTGGGAGGCATTCTAGAGACTTCACTCAACTCCCCTCCTAAGTTCAACCCAAGGTGTCCCATTGACTCTTCTTTAGGATGAATCTTGAAGCCTCACCATTATACTAGCAGTTGGGTCTGGCTGGTGTCCAGCATCTCTGTCCGGGACTGGTTCAACTCATGCTCAGTTTGGTAATCAGAACCAAGTGATTAAACAGGCCAGTTCTCTGACTCACATCCTTCTGTGGCTCCCTACAGCGTTTTGTACATGTTGGGCAGACTCCTTGCCTTGGCTTGTCAAATTCTGCATGAGTCTAGATCTTTTCTCATTTTTCTCTCCTCTCTCACCACCACCCCCCTCTCCCTCTTTTCTCCTCTCTCCTCCCTCTCCCTCTCTCTCTCATTTCCTGGTCTCTGACCATGATGGCAAGTTCTCCTGAGAAGTCAGCTATTTCTCAGCCCTGGCCCTTTGCAATGTGCTGTGCTTTTTTGCCTACCCTACACCTACCTTAGCCTCTGCCTACTTGTTTAGCCTTCTGTTGATTGGCTGGCTCCTTCTCTTCCCAGGGCTCTCCGTGAAGTTCTCAGGCTGTCCCTCACTGAACTAGGTCTTCCCTTCTTCTCATGGCCTCTGTTATCATTTCTGATTGGGCATCCTTTCTATTGAATGTCTGTCTCCCCTGAATGTGGGGACCATGTCTGTCTTTGTCATTGCTTTATGGGTGCCTCTCACCCCAATAGTGTTCTAGTCAGTACTTGACCCATGAGCTGTCGGCTCAGTATTTTGAACTGGAAGCACGTGTTGTAGTAGCAGATAGAGCAGGAGCGAGACCTCAGAGAGAGACACCCTCAGCAGGACTGGGCATTCAATCCCCAGGCTTAGCTGGAGCATCTAAATGAAGACCTGTTTATTTTCAAAAACCCCTCCAATTTCCTGGAAACAGACTGTCTCTGATGGTCTATTAAGGTTTTTTTTTTTCCCTTTTTCTTTTTAAGCTGCTAAAGATCTTGGAACCAAACCAATCTGCATTTCCATTTTTATATCTTAATTTATAAACTACGCCTTATAATTTACAAGCACTCACTTACTTAGTGTCACTAACAGAGGCGAAACAAATACCAACCTTGCCAGTTCTGCTACTCCAGCCTGCCCCCCGCCCCTCACTTGCTCCAGGACCAGCTCAGGTGGTCCTGACCAAGAGACATAAGAACACGAGCATGCCTTTATAGGGACGGAGAGAATGATTGTGAAGGTGCACAGGTAACAAGTGGAGGTAGGTCTGCACCTGCCCCTCTGGGAGTCTTATTCCAGGGACCTCTCCAGGATACCAGGCCCCAGGGGCTAGTGACATTTGGGGTGGTGTCGCTCTTTATGGTGCACTTTGGAATACAGCAGCATTCCTACCTCTACCATGAGATGCCAGGAGTTCTAACCTCATCGTGACAACCACAAATATCATCATTAAAGCCAAGTTTCGTTTGTATTGCCCCTAAATGGAGAACCTGTGCCCCCAGTCTTGGTTAAACTGAGGAAGCTGGACACCACTGACTCAAGCCTGTAACCTTACCTACTCAGGAAGCTGAGATTTGAGGATCACAGTTCAAAGCCAGCCCAGGCACAAAAGTCTGTGAGATCCTTATCTCCAATGAACTATCAAAAAGCCAGAAGTGGAGGTATGGCTCAAGGGGCAGAGCACCAACCTTGAGGAGAGAGAGAGAGAGAGAGAGAGAGAGAGAGAGAGAGAGAGAGAGAGAAAGAGAGAGAGAGAGTCAAGTGAGAGCACAATGCCCCGAGCTCAAGCCCCAGTACCCGCACACCAATAAAAACCAAATAAATGAAAGCAAAAGGACTGCAGGTGTGGCTTTTGGGATAGAGCTCCGTGGCTCATCCATCAAGCAAGGGCCCCCGAGCAGAATGAATCTCCAGCACCACCGCCACCATCAACCAGCACCGTCACCAAAATGGGGTTTTCTCTGATGGGGCTATTTGCCCCTTGCTTGGTGCCACTTATGCGAACTCGTTGGGTCAAGTGTGGCACAAACTTAGGGAGCAGAAAAGGACTAGGAATCCCCAACTCCAGGTTGCAGCCCTTCCCTGCCAGACCATTGATGACTCTGAACCCCAAGGCAGGGCCTCTGTGTCTTCATCAGTAAATTGCAGGCCTTCATAGCCGCGGCCTCCGCAGCAGCCTTGACGGGAAGCAGGCCGGCTCCGTGTCTAGCAGCCCCCCCCCCGCCCCCGTGTGTGTACTCGCAGGCTGTATCCCCCGTGGCTCCGTGGGGTGGGAGGGTGGGTGGGGGAGTGTGGGAAAACTTTCCCTCAGCAGTGGCAGCCGTGAGCGCCCGGCTGGGGGCTCGCTGGCTTTCCTGTTACCCTGAGGGGGTGGGAGGGGGTGGAGGTGGGCAGCCTGGGGTGCCCCAAGCCGGACCCCAAATACCACCCCATGAGGTCCCTGGGGGGCTGGGGCCGCATCCTTTCGGAATCAGTCGAGGCTGCTCACAATATGAACAAGCAGATGCGGTCGGTGGAGTCTCCTCCGGGGATGAGGCGACTTCTCCCCCGGCTCCTACTTTGCTTTTATGGGGGGAGAGGGAGGGAGTCACGTTTGGGCCCCCAGGCACGGAGTCCCCGGGTGTGGTGTACAAACGCCAACCCTGGCGGGCCGTGCCGGCCCCCTCTCCCCGGGACCCCCGGGTTCCCAGGGTGGGGGATCCCCCCCTCCCCGCTCTCTTCCCCGCAGGCCCCTCCCCCAAGGTCACCCAACTTTTCCCTCTCC